GTTTTTTCCAAATAAAAATCCGACTCGTTGAGAATCCAAAGTATAACGAGGATAATACGTGTAATTTTTACTTTTATCTTTTGGAGCTTTTATTTTATTTCATATTGCATATACCAAGTGAAGCGGGTACATTAAATGCCTTGTCTAAAACTGTTAAGAAAATGCTTTGCTATTCCATTCGAAATTCCATTTTGGTTTTAAAAGCGACCAGAAGCCCATCCTTTTAAAGTTTTAGTATCCCAAGCCACCTTCCAAAAATAGCAGAAAAATCGATGGATCTTTTCGAATCACGTCACATTTATTTATCAACTGTAATGATGGATTGTACGGACTTTGAATCGCTTGGTGCGAATTGTCTTAAAAATCATTTAATGGATCAAATCAGCGTGCACCTGGGCCTCTGAGAGGCAAAATGAGTTTGACACATCAAAAGGGGTCTCCCTCAGAATGTTCATTTATGGAGCTTTAGCTTGTCTAGGAGGTGTTATGTCTCCAATAAAATGGTTCCAACGATCACTGGTATCCCCTCAAAACATAGAATTTTGGTGCAATTCCAATAAAACGGAAATAATATATGATCTTTAATTATTTCTCTTGTACAATATTTGAGAGAACATTTAAATCAACCTAGAAATATTCCGAGTATTTTTAAATTAAATTCTTCTAACATGCTAAGTTGGTGACTTGATAGCGGGACAGAGTAGTAAGACTATCAAAGATGAAACACAAGAAATTATTAAAACTTTTAAAACATTGATCAAATTATCAAAGAGCAGAGCAGCGAGAAATTTCATTATCTCTACTGCATGAGAATATTAATAAGTTTGTGAACTCATTCATATTGAACTAAGTTCAAATGTTGCGATAACACAACACCTTTTGACAAAAATCTTTCTGCGAAAAAGATGAAGTTGGCTTTTTTCCCCCTTGATTTTTACGTCCTTTAATTTTTATATTTTAGTCTTTGTGTAAAAAAAAAAAAAGACCCAAATATATCTTTATATATGTTCAACTGTTTTATCTCAACGCATGCAGTACTTAAAACAAATTAAAACGTTTATTTTTTTTTTTAAATTACAAGAAGGAAAAAAGCTACTCAGTTTAATGGACTTAATTTATAAACCATGGAAATGTTGATTATACATGTATTTAATTACACATACATAGTAACAAACACATTTCATGAACATGATCCTTCAAACTTCTGGGGGAATCAGAACTCTTTAATTCTTCACCAAGTATCGAGTTTCGATTTTACAAGATCATTACCTGTACCATTTTGGGTTTTATTGAAGTATTTGACATTTCCATTAAATACTGGATACCGATAAAAGAACTCTCACGACTTTTAAGCATGGTCCAATTAAGATTCACGTAACCAGAGTTCGAACAAATCTCCAATTATTGTATATTGATCAAGTTATTTGTTCATTATTGCGATATCGGTTTATCGTCCACTGTTGTGAAAACATGTTTCCTTGTCCCAAAACAAAGATTATCGATTTCAAACAGACACCTTTATCAATACCTTGTTTGATTAAAGGAGTATTTCTCGCTAAAAATTTGGCATATGGAGTGTTGATTGTAATATTCTCACCTATTGATTAACCCCTGTTGTTTACTTTTTATTGTGTAAGTTTTTGTCTATACATAATACCACAATCTGTACTTAAATTTTTTTCTGATAAATCCGTCAAAATAATGATAATTTTGTTTGTTTGTTTTATATTTTATCTGAAGAAAATCAGTTTCTGTAAAGTGCTTATTATGTTAAATGAGAGAGAGAGAGAGCGCTCACTGACATATTGCATCTAACGAATACAAACTGAAGTGAACTGGGAACTTGCAGCTCGTGTCTGATAATGACCCTGATGTCCGAACATTAGAACAAGTCGCCATTAAAAAGAATGCGTGTGAAAATCCTTTTCGCAACTGTCAGATCCGTGAATAATGACGATTATTCATTGATTTTAGCCTCTGATCACGGAGGGATAGAGGTTTTCGATGCTAATCTAAAATCTTATAACAGCTCTCCTTCGTCCCTGCATCTGCACATTGGCACACAAACATATGCTTAACAAGCACGTGGAAAATAATTAAGTCTGATCGTGTTCGATTGTCCGGTGTTTCCCGAATTTCCACAAAATTTTATGACCTTTGGTCGGTAGTTAGTGTCAGTTTTGGTTAAGAGGGGTTCCCAGTGCAGACCTTTAAATCGTTTTATAGCAGAGATACAGAACTTTGTGGAAGAAACGCTAAGATAACAATTTCTTTATAGACTCTTGTCAGCGACATTTTTTATGATTTTCTGGTAGTATAAAAATTAAAGTTTATTTGTTTTGTGGAGGGGGTAAGCACCGTAAACTGGTAAATTGTTTATCCTTCCTTGTCATATATAAAAGATGGATATTGATTGAATAGCAGGGGATAATATTCTATAATGACTTCCAGATAAAAAAAAAATATATTCCAGGGTTCCTACGTGGACCAAACAAGTTCATTTCGATTTCCCCTTTCTCCAATTTTCAACACAGATAAGGGTATGGGTGAAGGTGAAAATTCCTTTGTTTCTTAGAACCATTCGTGACCAGGAAATTATTCATTGAGTCAGTCTGCTGGACACCTCTTATCGGGTCAAAATAAATAACCAGCATTTTCCGCTGAGTAGACAGACCCTCAGAGACAAAATAGAATTAAGTAAAGCAAACAAACACAAGAGTTGTAGCAACATTTGTAAGTAATAAGTATGTGAACTATTCATGAATTACAGATCTGTAAGTGCTTATGTGGTGTATTCAACGTGTATGTACAGCGTAAATAATGATACCGCGGTCGCTCTGCTTATTTTCATATTAGTCAGTAGTTAATGTATAAAGAGATAAATGGAAATGGGCGAGGATACATTGTAGAAAATATATAAAACCTTCATCAAAGAGTTCCGTTGCTGATTCTATACATTGCGATTCATTATGTTTAAGAAGAATAACATGGACATTTTCAAGGAACGAGTAAGACATTAATTTTGGCAGCGGCAGTTTGATAACATTTTTCCTGCACATGTTGGAACTCGGGGTAAATCCTTGTCTGGGAAATTTTATGAGTCCCAGATGGCCGTAAGAAATTTTGCACGTTGACAGCAGCTAAAGATAAGTCAAGTCGTTAATCCTGTTTTCCTTCTAAACAAAAATTAAGCTATCTGATACAACAATCAGGAAACACGACCCATACCGAGGATTTGTGAATGACTTCGCTCTTCGATAGTACTCTGGACTGTACAGTGACTTGTGGCACAAATCCATAGATTTTCTCGAATATACAGGGATTATAAACAAAGAACAGATGATATTTAGATCATAGATTTAGTCACAAGACGTCTTCAGGTGTTTGATTTGATGAAGTTTTGTAGATAAGATTGAATGACACGATGTCTTAATTGTATTGTTTCTATGTAAAGTGTCATTGTTTACAACAAAGAGTATAGAAGTTGCATTTACTGTGCCTGAAGCATAGCGTTTTAAGATATTCCGATAAATACCAGTGTAGTCTGTCTATCTCTCAAATCACTGGTGCATTAAAAAAAACCTTAACAGGAGTCGAAAAATCAGTAACACTTTATATCAATTTCTTTGTACTGGCTGAGAAAAACGGAAATTAGATTATGCCTTCAAATTAACCTGAACGTTCGCCCTTCTCAGATAAATTCAACAAAAGGAAGGTTTGGTTCCCCATGTTAACTTTAACAAACCTTATTTTCCCATGAATCAGACATAATTATGGTTAAAAATATACTTGAAACCTAAAGACAATGCAATTAGAAACCCCCCACTCAAGGAAACTATCAAAAGTCAAATCCTCTCGAAACCTGGTTTGTTCATGAATCACAAGGTCGATTTCATAGCTAACCACTTTCCTTCATCTACACTCAACACCGAGACCAAATAATGCGATCGGAATCTCATTAAAAATGAACTGTCCCAAATTTGACCCCTAGAAATGTCCCTTATTCAAAGCACTAAGTACTTATAAAATTCATCTGTTGACTTGTTTTAAAATTAAATAGAGGATAAAAATTAATCTTCTTTCCTTAGTGGCATACAAGTTCTTAATGGAAACGTATGTTTAACTAGTAACCCCCTCTTTCTTCAAGTAATTTTTCTTTAAATGTTTGGACAAAATTTTACACGGGTATTTGAATGATGCGCGTAAGTCATCAAAAAAGTGCAGGTGCTTTACTAACATTTCAGTCTCTATCGCCCAAGGCAAAAATATTTCAACATTGTCAATATATAAAAATATACATCGAAAAAAAGTCAGTGAGTTAAATTTTTTTAAGAAGAATTTGTATCGATGTCCCTTTGGCCAAAGGGGTATGTTTGTTATACTTTTTAATAAACGAGGAAGATATCCCAATGAATTGATTAAATGCTAAATATTACTTCATTATCTTTTTTCAGAATAATAATTCAATTGGCTATTTAATTGGGCAGATAACGACATCTTAAATACATTATGTAACGTGTGTTAGATTTCTGGTTTAGTCCCCCATTCCTTTGTTCTGTCTCCATATTTATTGTTCAGAATAACAATTGATGAATCCCAAACGATAGCAAGTCATTTTCTGGCACCAGATAGCTATGATTAAGGAAGCATAAATTAAATGAGCATTGTAATCTTCTGGGAAGAATTACTGGTTATTCCATGGCATTGTGTTTTCTGATTAACAGTCATAATTTTAAACACCGAACAATTCCTAGGGTGGGGTATGAAACCAGAACTTATATAACAAATCTTTTGATCATATTTCTCTCTTATCAATAAATGAATCTTCTGAACATTTCGACAAATTTATCCAAAACAGACCGCTCGCTGTCCTGCTGAGTTAAATGTTATAGTCAAGAATGTCAACGGTCACCTTTTCACGTCAAGTGGAAAAAAGTAAATAAAATTTGAAAGAAAAATGGCCGTAAAATAAAAATTTAAAACAAGTGACTAACACTTACCAGAGGGACCTCGAGGACAGCTTGGAACAGGCATATTATACTCTCATGTCCTGGCAGTGAAGCAACATAAAAAAGTCCAAATGTAGATGTCGTCACTGTGTTTCACAAAAGAGCAATGATATTACAGTGCACACACACTTTAAAGTAACTTTAAATACCGGGGCACGTTAACGGATTGTAGCCGTCTGTTCACAAAGACAGACTACTCTCTGATGGTATAAAATTCCGGGGATATCCGATAATCCAATACTCTAAAAGTTATGATGATTTTTTTTACAGTTCGCAGAGCGCTATATTTTGTGTGTGCGTGCTCGGTAACGCCTTTCAAAATACTGAATCAATATTTTTACAAACAAATCGCAATGCAATGTTTTCAATCGAATCTCCGCCTACTCTTGTACACGTGGTTGCTTTAAATAAAATGTGTACTTAAGAACATTAAAGAGCCTATTAGCTGTTATCTAATTGTTTATAAGCACCCAGCTGAATTAGTCATACAGTTATCTTGGGTTTATATCCTGAGCAAAAAATAACAGTATACCATATATAATGATATGTAATAGGTCCGAAAATAATATATGAAAAGTAAGGCAGTGATAGCGATCGCTCAATCTACGGGGTTTCTCTACGATAAACTGACGAGCGATTGTCTCTGCATGTTGCCGAATTATTTTTCGCTAATTAGCCCATTCACGCTATGTTCAGTCGATGGGGTTATCAATGCGTTTGTGCGTTTGGAAGATTACACATGTTTTTACGACCAATCAAATCGATGCAGAGTTTGCAGTCCGGGTCATTTTTACGATAATCAAGTTTACTCGGGAACTGTCGGGGGAGAAATAATTTCCCTTTCGCTTATTTGAACAATAAGTTTTAATTGCTTGTTAAAGAACATGCACGTAGGAAACGCGATATCGAGACTTCTCTATTTTACCCTAGAAAATTACCCAAGGGACGGATCTCCAAGCAGATTTAATGTGCAAAGTGCATTTGTCGTGTTCAAACTAATGATATTGATCTATTAAAACACTGTCTATTTTTTTTTTTTGGGCTGGTTAGTGAAAGTCATTTAAAATTTCTACACTTTTTTTGTGTGAGTAGAAATATTAATGATAAAATTTTTTATAATGCTCCGAAAAGTTATGTGTAGGAACTTAAGGAAGTCGCATTAGCAATCGTATATAAAAGAGCCACCTGATTACGTTGTATTTTAGAAATGCATATAATTTACGTACTCTCCGTATTGCAGCTGTGTGAATTCTAATACCCAAAAACAGCATCAATCGTAATTAGAAAAAAAAGGAGAATAATTTTATCATAATTTAGAAGCATAAGTTTCATTGGACTTTTTGAACTCGTACATGTTTAATCTAGTTCATTTCCAACAACTTGTACATTACTTAATTTAATTCATATAGATCATTTAACGATATCACAATGATATTTTGAAAGAGGCATTTTTTCAACAAACAAAATCCAATATTTTGAAGACACACCGACATCTAATGTGAACAATACTACTCCCCAGCAGTTAGAGAGTCTGCCGAGAAGAGCTAAGTGTCAAACATCAGCAGGGGGCATATGATTATTTAACGAGCTGACTTTGTTAGTTTGTCAACTTGTGTTTGTTTCAATCTTTGCACACAAGGAGATTAATTTGATTTTTCGATTAAATAAACACCGTATCTAGACCTTCATGGACCGCGTGCCATATCGCTCAAGTAAACGAAACTAGACACTGAATATTCTATCACCTTTGACCCTAGGTTGCTTGTTAAGATTAAATTTTAGGCTTAGGTTGATGATGTTTCTTAATTGACACAAAATCGTACCTAATTAATTTTGGATTGATTGTTAATTAACGAACAAATGCCAATATTCTGTGTACTAAATAATCGACTTGTCAATTAACAAAACACGGGAATAATTTAATTATCCAAGTAAGTGAAAGAAATTCATCAATACTCTGCGAATGTCAAAAATAATCAGATATAGATATTCTCTCCATGAAAACCACTTTGCTAAAACAATTATCAAATGAATATACAAAATAAACTAAAAGATGAAGTACATGAAATTCATATTAAGCTGGTGTAATACACCATAAGTCTCAATAGTTGATTTTGACATGTATCTTTTAATGTATGATACATGTTAACAAAGAAGGAAAAATGAACAAACAAAAATCAAAACGAACAAAAATCCCAAAGCATTTGCTTGAACAGGCTTATTAGGGATACTTCGTAGTAAGTATGCTTCCCTTTTTGCACGAAACATTCCTCTATCCTTTTTATCGTCTGACAATGAAATGACAAAGACGTTGATTTCTCCCATAGACCATCAGTCAGCTAACATTCAGAAAAAAATAGTCGGCCATATTTGTCAATTTTTCTTTCTTGTCTTTGCGGTAATAGACGTATAATTGACTGTCTGATGTCTTTTTACCATATAAATCTTGCCTAAATACACGACATTTTGTCTGTTAGTAAATCTGGAGGGATTCAGAAAGAAATAAAAGCGAGAAAAATGCATTAAGAAAATTCCGAAAGCACTTGATAATTTCCACATCTATATGGAATAATGATATAGACTCAGTGACTTGTTGACATATGTTTGAAAAACTGTCTGCTCACAAGATCTTATGTATTAGTGTCTGCAATTTTTCCCAAATGAACACTTAAGAAATGAAAATTTTGCTGGAAAACTTAACAGTCATTTTAACTGGGAGTAATTTATTCAAAAGGAAATATTTGCTTTTTTGGTACTATTGTATTTTGGAAATATATACATCCAGTTATCAAGACCTAATTACCTCCCCCCCCCCCCTTATAATTGTTGATAAAAATCATTTACATTACAGTGGCGGATCCAGGGTTCTTGTATGAATGGACAATATGCCGGATTCAAAAATAGTTTTTATTAATAATGCATTGAAAACAGATACAATACTACAAGATGAATGTTTAAGGAAAGGACGCCTAAATGTATTCCGAAGAAGAGAAGAGGCGGAAATCGGACGCTAGCCTTTGTACATCAAGCTGATGTTATTAAAGATGCATCGTGTTTCACACCACTGAATTGCAAATTAGATATTCAGTTTCTCGAAAAAAATATGCTGCCTAGTGCCTACCTTGTCATTGTATATGCAAAGTATTATATTTTCAATTCTGTCATTATAAACAACACGTTCATTTTTCTTAAATCAATTATCTTGTAAAACTGAAGGAAAACCCAGCCGAAACTTTCTTTATCTGGCATACGCGAATTCCACATTTTTTTTTTTTTGTTAGTTATCTTTGTCATGATTATGGGAATGTTAACATTCACAGAGGCATCTCGACGTTAAATCCTCTTGTTTGTCAAACATCGTCCTTGTGTCACCAATGATAGGGGAATAGTGTTTTATGGAACTTCCACACACCTTTTTATAAGATCAGCCTTTTCGGAAAGATAAGCCCCGTCCCTTCAGGCTAAAAATGAAGTGAAAATTGCATAACTGAGAAGCTAAGCAGCTTTTATTGAATTAACCATTACTTGGTGTACATAACCTAAGTTAACGTAACCAATTCTTAGCCGACAAAAACGATAGTCGTTTCTGAGGTCCTTAGCAGTGAGATTGTCTCATCAAAATGCACCCCCTCTTTCTGCTAAAAGAACAGGTAGTGGTATTTCATCGAAGATTAATCGATCAATTGAAAACTAGAGCAGCTACATGTTGCTGTTGTATTGGAAGATTTCATTTCACTGGCGTGCACTGATAATGGATAATGTCTTGTCACACAAAACAAACGCTCCAACGTTTTTTTGTTTGTTTGTCAAGAGACCCGTCATTAATTTGTCAACCTATATCACTTGCATCCTGGGAGATTTTCCTCTACGTTTCATCTTGATTGCTATGACATATCATGTTTAATAGATGCAAAATTTTCAATGGAAATAAAAAAATAGATAAAACAAAAGATGAACAAATTCAATTTCTCTACAGATAAAAAGCTGGGGTCATCTTCGTTGAACTCATCAAAATCATTGGAATATAAGAACCAATGCCATTATAAATCTCGCCCATTTTCTGCTGATGAAACTAACATAAAGATAAGAACAAATCTTTGCAGTCTCCACATTTCTTTCCATTAAGACGTGTCATTAATTCTCCAGGAATAAATGAAGAATATCAGCCTGTCAAAGAGGCTATCGACAATAGCAGACGTTACATATCCCAAAACGCGGGAAACGTTGCCATGTCGAACTGTGATTTATAAATTCTCCATCATCTTTACATAAGGGAGTCTTTAATCTTCCAGGCCAATTTCTGGAGACACTGCTCCTAATACATTGTGACCACAGAGTTAACATGTCGACAAATCCCCCCAATATCAAACCATTATCATCCTCGTTAGGTTCTAGCTCAACTCATTGTGGGAACCAAAAGCTCTCATATTGTCCATGCATATTAAGTTTACAATAGGAAATGGATCTGCAAAATAGTTTTCAATTTATTCGTTTCGCTAATTTTTGCATACTATTTTTTATGCATGAAAACCGTATGTCGTGACAGTGGACTCTGCATTGCATGACGGTTAATTATCGAGAATAACAGCAATGAAGAAAAAGCTTTTAGAGTTACATACTAGCAGCAGAGTTAAAGCAGTAAGTTCATTTAGATCCCGGAAAGCTTTCTTGTATTCACTTTATAGCCTTAAGTTCCTTCTGTTAAAGAGGAAAATCATCTAAACCTAGTCTTGATCTTTTCTTCATATATGTAGACGCCTAGGCCTGGTTCTTTCATATATAGACATATTATATACGACGCCTAGGACTTATTTTATTTGTAATAAAAGGCATTGTGGTTTCATATTGTGTAGTACTTTGTAGTACAAATTCTAGAAATTTGGAGGCTAACTACAAAACTGCTCCTTCTTTTATCTATACCAGAGACATTCTAACTTCGTTAATTTTGCACACAAATTCAAGAGGGTTTTGGGGATTGAAATTTGTTTATTCACCGACCAGGAAGACCTTTCGGTAAAAGTGAGCAAATATATTTCAACATGACCAGTATGCCACAGAACACAATCACCACCACAACCAGGCACCACCGCCACCTTCTCCAAAGATACAAACCATGGCGTAATCACCAAAACAAATCAAACGGTATAAGAAACGTCTAGTGACTCACAGCCTCAATTAGTATTTGTATGATGTCGACATATGTGTATAAGTCTGGATGTCAAACTCCGTGGAAAAAATACGCCATTCGTGCTGAAAGATAATTTCATTACGGCCCTCTTGTTTTACCTATAAAAGCTCTCAGATAAGATCTTGGCCTTAGGCTTCTTTGTCGAATGCATGCAATGCAAAGTAACTGCATCCATTATGAGTTTTTAAATAGGTTTTGGATCACCATGCCAACTTTTCCGAGAAGAAAACATTGGTAAATAGATTACATAATACGGGTGTTTATTTCTTGAGAATTTTGGAGAATCTTTTCAGCTTTGTTAACTTTAAATTCAACAATCGCAAGGTGCATACCTGATTTTGATAAAACATCAATAGATACGAGCATTTTAAAACATGTCGCCGTGA